CGAGCAAAGTCACATCCCCGATCAGGGTCCTGAGAGTTTGTTTGACCGCTGCGATGGTGTCTCCTAACATGGCGAACGTCTCGATGGTCAACAAATTTTTGTTCGCGACCAGCTGACACAAATCCTCAGGAACTCTCTGTCTCCCGAAGATCTGACGAAGCGGCAAGTCCGGCGTTTTGGCCGCATCGTAAGTGGTGCGATCGACCATGGTGAACTCTTGAGTGAAAAACACTGCATGAAAAACTGAGTCAACCCTGCCCCCTCGAGCGTTGACGACCGTCCGAGACGACCCGAGCTGGCGAACAACTTTTCACGATGAGGCGGGTGCATTCTGACCTGTCTGAAAAGCGATCACTACATCAGGTCTGGCCTTCGCGCAGGCTTTGCACAGGACTTCAATGTCTGGCAAAACTGAACCCACGGCGGAACAGTCGTCCAGAGCCAAACGTCCACATGCGAGCGCTGAAGGATCGTCCAGTGCTGAACAGTGAAAGCGGTGTTCATACGAACTAGCAGACGCAACGTTCTTGATAAAGAACTGGGGCGTGGCTTCTTCAATGACCCCTGCATCGACTAGTTCGACTTCCTCGGATTCGTCCACTGCCTGTGAAGCTGCGAGGTCCTGAACAAGTTGGTGAATCATACGAGCAGGGACGGCCGAGCGGTTCCTAGTGTATTTCAACACCAGGGGCCCGGGGTTCTTCCAATTTGCCTGCAAGCCGATCTCCTCTGTGGAGCGGCCTGCATGCACCGCAGCATCGAGCATGGTCACGCGAGCGGAGTGCACGGTGAGATCTAAAATCTGCCTAGCACTTTGAGACCACTCTGGCTTGGACCGATCGCCCCCCGTAGCGGTCAAGCGCTTCCCGCGCTAAGACTTTCAGCCACTGGGTCGCTCGACTGTGTGTGGGAGGAACCTTCAAAAATTCATCACGACTATTCAGTTCGGGGACCCAAAAGTCACGATCGAGTTCAACACGACGAAACAAATCCCAACCGGTGACCAACCATAAGGGATCCCTGAACCCAGCGTTTGGGACGGCGAACCGTGTACCGCGGCGCTTACGCTCGACCTTCGTCTGCCACGCCAAACCGAAGAGCCCAGCATCTTTCATACTAAGATCCTTCGGCTTGACGTGTTTGCCATCGTCAAAACGGAGCGAGGCAAAGATTAAACAAAGCCACCGCCAGACAAAAATCCGAGCGGCCACCGGAACACGGTCATCAGTCACCAAACACTCAAGACACTTAACCACGAGCAGTGGGATGGGAACGGCTTCCTTCAATGTTTGGGCACGTTTCGTGATCACCTCCTGCTGAAGTGCCAAGAGGCTGGGTTCGTCCAGATCGGGGCATTCAATGACCAATCTAGACGTGACCCATTTGATGGCTGTTCTCAAGGTGGGGAGCACCGTGGGACCACATTCATGATCATCTAAAAAGAGCATGTATTTCACCACCTTGGGAGTTGTAAGGGGGGAACACCGGAATTCCCTCCTTGTTGAGCCATGTCTCGAACTTTTCAAAAATTCTAACATACGAAGCAATCGTCCTAGGAGCACCGGCGGTCAGTACAAGTTGTCGTAGGCGATCGGACTCTGCCGGTGACAAGCCGTCACCAGTCTGTGGATCCTCCCAGAGCCTAGACGCAGAACCTGCACGTTTGCCGATCTGTTCAAGACGAGCTGCCCACTTCCTACGCTCAGCATTCTCCCGATCAAGGAGGGGGGGTGGAACTCACCGCTTCGCCAGCTCCTGTGTCATGAACTCTCCTTGGGGCTTTCGCCTGATGCTTGAACAAGTCCTGGACCGCTGCTGCTCTCTTGGCTCTAGCTGTGTCAGGCGACAACGCGATCGTGCCGCTCGGCTCACACATGCCGAAACCAATCTGGTGAGCAGTGGACTCAAAGAAGTTCTTCTCCACGGATCCTACTAAAGACCAGAACTGTTCTAACAACAGAGGATGCTTCAGGAGCTCTTCTGCCGCAGCAGCGTCGAGCGACGGTGCCCAGTCGGCCACCTTTGCTACGAACGTTGCAGCCGAGCCTGCCTCCATCGACGCGACAAAAGCGACATTGGCGAGGGGCGTCTTTGAGAGCGCCTGAGTGAACGATTCCGTGAAAACAGGCAGTGACAAAATCTTTCTGACCCAACGATCGATGCCTTGAGCCATGATTTCTGCCTATATGCGGTTGATGCGATCTCAAGAACAAAAATCGACTCTGACACTCTTTGATCTAACATCCATTCAATGCATAAATTGAGTTCTCACAAACGATCGTGGCAACTCATCAGCACACAAGTGCCTACGAGCCTAAGACCTGAAAGCCTCAAGACAACACCACGACCGACACTGGATCCCAGCGTGTACCCCCAAAGAAGCTGACCCAAGACTGTGGCCAGTTTCTTTGGGAGCGAACGCACTGAGATCCCGCGGCGAGCTGGGTGCATTTACCTGAGGTCAGGTTCACGATCCACTAATGAGCAAGCTAATCGAACGAGTGACTTCGCGAACCGCTCACAGTGCAGCTGGAAAGAAAAGGGCAGAACCGGCATCATGAAAAGACTCTAGAGCCGGCATCAATCCTTCCCTCCATGACTGAAAGAGCAAAACGCAAAGCACATTTATGGCACTCGCGATCAGCAAGGCCTCTGTGTTGAGAAACACTGAGACCGATCTTTCTTGAAATCAAAAAGGGATCAAATTGGATCCAAAGGTTCAGACCTCCTCAATTGACGGGCCAGAACCAGGGCCGTATGATCGCGGCGCCCCAGCTGAGCGTCTGGAGCTGTGACCTTCGCGATCGCCAGCTTCTGAAGAAACAAACTCATCAGGGGGCAGGGCCGCTGAAAAGCGAAGGGGGTCGATATGACCCTGCATCGCCCGACCAACACCTTCTACAAAAGCATGAGGGGTCACTGCGGCCTCAGCCATGCGTTCGCTGTTCCGAGTGTCGAGCGACCTCCGGAGGACGTGAATCGCACTCCCGCTCAATGAAGCTGGTGCAGGGGCTTCACCTGGCTGAGTGATCGACACTGGCGTGTCCCTCAAACTCTGAGCAGGCATGGAGCTCACCTGATGTCCCACCAGAGCTCGCACCGAACTGGTCTGCTTCGAAACAGGCTGAGCTGATGGTCCCCCGGTCACTGGAGGCAAAATCATCGTTGCTCGCTCGAGCTCAGGATCGTGGTACTGCAACGCCAAAGCGTCCGTTGGGACGATCGCCTTCTCCATCTGGTACAGCGGAGCCTCACAGGTCAGATGCAGGTTCGATGGGTGGGATTCCACTGCCACTGCACTGACCCTTGGACCACAATCACCGAGCTCATTGGCGTGCATAGCCGCCGTCCAGTGAGCATGGATACCAGCTAGTTGTGAGAGCTGCATGATTTGATCAGGCCCTTCAACTCGAGCGAAATGACGTCGACACCACTCAGCATTCCGAACGAGCGTCGGACCAGACACCCGAGACACCATGAGCCAGGATGCAGGTGCCGCCACTGACGAACATGCGATGTCGAGCTTGTCTCCAGCCGACACGAACCGCATTTCCATGCGGTCCGCGTCCCACCCGAACGAGTCTGCAGAGGAGATCGAGACCAACCTCAGTTCGAAGTGGCACAGCGGATGATCCAAGGCGACGACAACGCCTCCGTCAGAACATGCATACAGCCGCCCACCGACCTCGAACGAGATGGCCACCACTCTCCAGCCCTGGAAGACCGTCACAACGATCGAGGGGACGAACAGGAGGTCAGCCAAGCCCGGAACCAAGGCATCATTGATGTAGTTCAACTGAACCGTCATATCTTTATCTGAACGATACCCCCGAAGCTCAAGATGCAGAAGGAGGGATCCCTCCACCTTCACCTTCAGGTCGACCCAGGTCGCCGAATCATCTCGCATGAGGGGCCACCTGAACGGCTGAAAAGCCTGATGAGCAAGAACAGCGCCGGTCTGGCCATCCCACTTGGCTGCAGGAACACTGCTGTACGAACTCATCGAGCCCACCAAAATGAGCTTCCTGCCGTCCAGAGTGCGAACGTAGAAGATGTTCAGATGGTACCCAGCATTGGGCGATCGCACTGAGGTTCGCTCCGAATGAATATTGATGCCCGCCTGGGCGTTGACCAAAATTTCGTCTAGGAGCCAGCCTTGATACGGGCTTTGCAGACGTTGATCACGGCTGTCAAGAACAAGTACCGATCTTTCACCATCTGCTGAGCCGATCTGGCGCAGGTACGTTGGGAGCTTGAAGTTCACTGCACTGTGTCCAGGGTGTGGAACTTGGCCCCATCGAACACGATTCGCTCCTTTCCGATCGGCGCTCTCTTGCTGCCGCCTCAGGCGACGAGCTGCTGGTGTCTCATTCACTCCACCGAGCAGGTTTCTCGCGGCCTGAGTTGGTGGAGCCGCTGCGCTAGCTGCCGGGTAGGCCGTAGCTGGCTGATCAGCTTCAGGCTGCACAGCCCAAGGGTCATCAGGGGTCGGCTCCGTTTTCTTCTCATCGATCGTGGGCATTGCCTTGGGGAGTGGCTGCTCGATGATCGATCCTGAGGGTTCGACAGTCAACTTCGTCCAAGACACACCAGATCCAGCGTTTGACCCAACTGACGAAACACTATCGTCTGGGAGGATCTGCTCAGCTGCTCTGGCGTGGGCCATGGCGAACTGCCTCTGTAGAGCTGCTGGAGGAGCCTTCCTTGGCAAGGGAGGTGGAGCCTTTCTGGGGGCTCCATCGGTGCCGCCTGAACCAGGTGTAGCAGGAGGAGCCTTTCGAGGCGCACCATCAGAACCAACACCAGACATGGCTCAAAGATCCCAGGCCCTAACTGAACAGCTCAATCCAACCCTCAAAAAGAGAATGGATCTTTGGGCCTTTGAGGCCAAAATGGCAAAGGAAATGAATCATCGATCGAATCAGGATCAACATCTAACAAAGTTACACAGTTGTACCAAACCAACCTTACCGCAAACAACTGCACAACTGCTGAGGCACCTTTGCTGCTGCTCTGAAAAGCTCCACTCCATTGTCGGAGAACAGCGCGTCCTGTATATCATGCAGAAAAATGACACGCAACAAAACTTGCCATTCATGGTAGATGGCCATGCGCAAAAAGCTTTTAGACGAACAAGTGAGTTGAGCAATTGTACACCCCTGGCTGTGCCATGCTGTGCCATGTCAACTGCTATGACTCAGAAAATGCATCCGCCGTTCCTCCAAGAAGACGAGGCCAGCTTTGGCACCTCGCTTCGCATCACCACAGTTGAAGTCGCCATCCTCGCAGCAACGTCGTCCGGCGGCCCAAAACTCCACCGTACCTCAGGCAGAGGATCTTTCTATGGGTATCAAGTGCATTCAAATCACGATAGTCAACTCGAACAAGTTTGCTTTCTCTGGTTTATGTGCTACGAACAAACACTGTTTGCCATGCCGCTATGCTTTAGTTCGGTGAGTTCACTCTTGACACAAATGCACAAACAAAAACCGATTTCGATCCCAGCGTGACCGATTTCGATACCTCACCTTGTGTCGCCGCCTTGCTCACCAAAGGTGCAACACACAGCAGCTCTGTGCCTGCAAACGCTCAGCTTCACATGCGCAAGAGTACCAAAACACGCTGCTGTCACAGGCGGCAGAATCCGATCGCATTCGTCTCATGGAGCTTCAAAAGGGTCTTGAGAGCGACTGGATTCGATTTCGGGCCTTCGCGATATCCGGTTGCATGTTCAAAGTCCACGATGACATCCTGACGAGAATTGAGACGGCAGAAAGATGCAGAAAGTGTTGATTTCAGATCATCGTCCAATCTTGCAATTTGTGCGGTGATCTGGACCATGGGCAAAAGTTCCTGGAAATTGCTTGTGATCGGGGTCTCTTGGCCGAGCTGCATCACGAAATGCCAGCTTCCCGGCATCTAAGAAGGAGGTGGCACGATCACTCGCTGCCAGGTCGCTATAGGAACTTTGGCCCTTCGGCAAAAGCAGGGAGAAAAAACAATCAGCTTCCAGAACCAAAGATGTTGAAACATGGGTGTGCGCTGGAATAGGGAGACCCAACAAATAATGGGCGTTGTATAGTATAGTCAATGCCAAATCAAGTGTCCTTTACCAGTGAGTCTTTGAAGGTCTCCCTGTTTTCGTACATCTCTCGGCCTCATAGGCCCAGTATTTGTAGATGTTCCTGCTGTAGTTCCAGAGGCCACAGGCACAGGCGAGAACCGTTGCTATGAAGCAAAGGCTGCCTGATGACGTCCCCAAGTGTCTCAAAAAGAGGGAAAGACACGTCTTGCTGATACTCAGAGAACCGAGGAATCTTGCAGCCTGCGTGGAACCAGAAACGTGGACCATCTCGGGACTGCCTGTCTGACCAGAAACAACTCCGTAATTTTCACAGGTTGAAGTGTGAAACATGTTAAGGCAAGTGATGTGCTTCACGTACGCACTTGTGCACAACTTTTCCTGCCTTACGACCATGAAGAGCAGAGACACACAGAGATAAAGCAAAGCCAGAGACCAGGTAAGTCCAGGAAATGAGCGAAAGGTAAAGCTGCAAAGCACCTGAAAGAACTATTGCAGTTCACACCTAGAATGTATGCACCTTCTAATGCACTTTCTTCTTTGCTGACATCTGTCTTTGCTTCTTTTGGCTTGTTCTATTTAAGGCCCATGCAAGCAAAGATATAAACATCAAGAAGGGTAGCAAGACCAGAAACCCAAGACTCCTATCAGGGAACACAGAACATATACAATACAGTAGTGAATGGCTTAGTTCTAGCCTGAACCATGGTTACAAATTGCATATTGGTGCATCAAAGATCTGTCGAATAGGAAGGCCTGTGTAGAGGCAAGTTGTAAGCATATGTAAGTATGCTGTTGAGTTCTGTTCTAACAGCTTGATGCTCCGAAGGCAAGTAGACAAAGTAGACAAGAGCTCAGTTTCTTAATCAAGTGCCTTGCTGAAAAGGTACTCGCAAAAGAAAAACACATTGACATGCTGGATCTGCGTGCCCAAAGAAAAAACTTTGCTCATTGCCTGAGCTCGTTTTGCTGTTTCCTGCAACGAGAGGTCTCTTTAAATTTCCCCGCAGAATGTCTCCTGGCATGATAGCTCAGAGGCCGTGCCGGCAGCAAATCACGGTACATGGCATGGCGGCGCTGAGGAGATCCAGCTCATGAGAAGGTCTCTTAAATTGGTTTTGTTCTCAATGGATGTTTCAATAGCGGTATTCGACATTGCGCCCATCCGAGATCATAAAGGGAGCTGTTTGCTGTCCGCTCATCAAGCTTCGATGTCGTCTCTAAAAATCTGTTCCGAATGCTTTAAATGTCACATGTTTAATGTCCTTAAGTGTCCTTCACATCTCTTGAGACGTTCAACTTCAGGAAAAGTTCTGTGCAAAGCTCATGAAAATCATCAAAACTCAACGCCGCAAGGACCGAAAGTCCCCTAAGCACCATGTCATACCATGTCTTGGTGCCAAGGGGGCTTTTGTTGTCCTGTCCAACATGCATTTGTCGACTCATTTGACTCATTTGTATGTCAAAACAGACCCACCTCGATCAAAACCCATCTCTTCCACTTCCTTAGGGCCAAGCATTGAAGGTTCAATCAACATTTTAACCAGGCCGTTGTCGATATCAGCTCTGTAAGCCCCTTTTGTTTTCGAGTTGGGGCTTCAACATCACCTTCCGATCTTTGTGAATCTCAAGCCCTGCGCTTCCAGTTCAACTTCTTTAGCCTCCTTCAGCGCCACCCGGATTCCCTGCCTGAGAAGATGACTCAAAAGCACATCGGAGTCGTTCAAAAGCTCACGAGAGGACCACGAAAAAGGCCACTGGTTTCACTTATGTAACTTGACGGAAGACTCGGATCTCGGAAGACTTTTCTGGCTGACTCCGGTGCCTATTGGATCGCATAATCAGTAAGACGAGCTCTTTCGAGGGCAGAACTTCAGTTCTTGCAGGCCACTCTGAATGGGTGCAATGTCCTCCAAGGTGTGGAGAGTTTACTTTTTCGGAAGGCTTCTTCAGAATAGAACCTTCTTTGATTGATATATTTAAATATATATATATATTGATATATATATATATCTTTTGGATATATTCATCTAATGTATAAATTTGCAGATGTAGATATATGATATATGATATAAATATATATATATTGAAACATAGATCAAGCACTTCGTCAGGGTTGATCCATGCAGCAACACCACTGTGTTGAGTATTCTCATGCATGTTGTATGGAAAAAAAACGCTCAAAGACATCTTTTCCAAGGGTCAAACTTGAAAACAAACTCCTGATGCACGTTGAAGGCCACCTGTTGTTTAAGCTCTGTGGGAGCCCGCCAAGGCCGACCTTTGGGTCTTGAACACCTGGGCGAACGGAGGCAGGCTGCTCTGCGTTTCGTCATGCTTCTTGTTCCTAGTAGCGATGGCGTCGGCCTGCTAAGCCGCCCTTTGCTACTAGTAGCGATGCCAGGAGCCCCTAGTAGCGTCCTTGCTCCTAGTAGTAAGGCCAGGAGCCCCTAGTAGCTTCTTGTTCCTAGTAGCTCCTTGCTCCTCTGCATGTTAATCGTCCAACACCGGTAGGGTCGGAGGTGTCTACGCTCGGTGCCCGGGGAATCGGACTGTAGTAGGGCAACGAGTTCACTGATCGTGACCACCTTGGTGGACAGGGCAACGAGTTCACCTGATGTGCCACTGACGTCCGTGGATGAAGTCGCTCTAAGGGCTGTGCATCTGAAGACCTGCCCACAGCGAGCGGCTCGTCCCGATCGCACGCTGTGGGACATTCTTGCGGAAACACCATCGCCTAACATCCAGCAGATCAAAGATGGCCAAAGTCTCTTCTTCGGAGAGCTTGATTTCAGCCTCGAGAAAACTCACTCCCGGCAGAAAGGGTTAGATGTTTGAGGCTCGAAGAAGGATGCTTCAGGCTTAAGGCTTTCACCTGCTTCAGGCTTGCAGCCTGGCAGTGCCGAGTGCATGTGAATCAGGCGGGCGCAAAGAGCTGTTTGTGGCTCAGCCATGAGTGCAACTTTGCATGGTTGCATGTTTCACATGTCTCCATGGTTCTGAGACACACTGTTTACAGTAATCTTGGAGCTCGCTCAGGTGTCAAGGTAGCAGTTAAGCTACACAATCATGCAATCCACATCCAACTTGACGCATCTCATTGGCCTTCCCGACATCTGTCGCAGTCAGTATCTCCCACTATAGTGATGCTCAAGAATAGGTGTCACGGTGTCACTGTTTGGACACAAATGTTGAAAGCCTCTGACTTTCTGGATCAAATCGAAAACACGTTCAGCCGCAAGTAGCTGAGCACCTAAAATGATGTTGGGCTTCTAGCATCGCTGTTTTTGCCAACGTTTCCTGATTCGGTGTTCTCAAATGTTCTCAATGGCTTTCAATGTAGTCTTCCACTTGGCATGGGTGTGGTTGAAGCCCCGCAGCCAGGAAACATTCTCCACAATCTCTGTGTCCATGAAATGCACTCATCTAAGCTGGAACCTTTCCCACAGCCAAGTCCCCTCAACTGATCAATGGCAAAGAGCAGCTGTTCATTCGCGATGCAAAGAAGCACAGGCGGTTGCCGTTTGAGACGCGAAGGGACGCGTCTCATGCATCGCACATCCTTCTTGTGCCAGCTTGGCACGATAGGCGATCATGCCAAGCTCGGCCGAAACGAATCTATCAATGATCCATTGTAGGGATTGTCCGATTGAACCATCACGATATCCAAAAGGAATCAAATACTGGGTGGCTGAGATGATGGCAGCAATGCCCAGGACACAAAGGTCCGGTTCAATATTGCGATGACCTCTGCGGCCCAATACTTGCGTTGATTTTGCAAGCCTGAGCAGTCCATCTCAATCCTTGGCCCTTGGCCTGCACGGCGTTCATTTGGATCAAGCCATGCACCGGATGAGCTTCGGGTTACTGTCCTATACATGTTCTCAGGTGTCTTACCTAGGCTGTCGCAAAACAGCTTCTGCTCGAGCAACTTCCTCAACAGCACCTCGATGTTTCAGCGCAAACCGTGCCTGCTCACCCCCCTTGTCTTGAGCTTCAGGCAAGAGGACGCTACGAACGGAGCCAAGGGCATCGCTCCGAACATCTCCGAACGGAGCAAGGACGCTACGAACGGGGCTCCTGGCCTTACTACTAGGAGCAAGGACGCTACTAGTAACAAGTGCATCGCT